AGGAGGTCAAGGTCCTTCATGGACTGTAGAGCAGAAGAGTAAATAAGTAAGTATATTTGAGAAATGTAAACATTTTTATGGTTTTATATTTTTGTTTTTGATTGTAATTTTAATATTTTTTTATTTCAATTATAATTTGATATTAATTTACCATACATTTTGTGTTAGAAATTAATGGGAATATAAAAAGTTTTATTATACATTATTATAAACGTTCATATTAAAATTTAGAAATTAAGTCGTTCCCGCAGCTTTTTTTTTTATCTGAATCTGAAATATGTAACTAAAATCACAGTTTGCTAGAAAAATTTCATTTTCGATACTACATTTCAGATAACTTACATTTTAGATTAAAATTTCATTTTAAATCGCGATTCTGTAAGGCTTTTGCTCTATTTTATATTAAAACCTCTTAGACTGTCATAGTATAGTTCAAAAATTAAGACATTTACACGGTTTTCATGATTATCTTTGCATCTTAACCAAAACACGAAAATTTATCGATTTAAAATGAAAAATATCGAATTAATTTCCAATTTAAAGTTACATAAAATAGTTGTTTTTATTTTTAATCATCAATTTTTTAGATATTTAAGGCCTTCTTCAACTTTTTATTTATTCTTGACCGTCTTGACAATTTCAATAATTTATCTTCATATTTTTAATTATACGCATATAATTAAAAATATGAAGAAAACAATAAATTATTGAAATAGCCAAGACGAATTATACGAATATAATTAAAAATATGAAGAAAAGAATAAATTATTGAAATAGCCAAGACGATCAAGAATAAATAAAAAGTTGAAGAAGGCCTTAAATATATAAAATCCTCAAAAGAGCGATAACTATTTAAAAATATCAAGAAGGCCATAAATAATTAAAAACATCAAGAAACCAAGAATAATTAAAAACCTGAAGGACATAAATCGGTAAAAACCTCAAGAATGCCATAATTTCAAAAATTAAAAAAAAATTATTCATGTAAAAAGTTTTTATATGTATAACAATGAAGTGTTCCGCATGTATGTTTACACGTTTTTAAAATCTTTTCTCCCTATTAATTTGGTGATAAATTGCAATTTAAAAATAGAATATTTTTTTGATAGAAATTAAAGAAATTAGGTGTCATTACTTTTTAAACAGAAGGAAAATTCAAGATAATGAAATCAATAGTTTATTAGATTACATGATCAATGTATTTTTTTATTTATGATTACAGTAGATCAATATTATAATTAATTTTATAATTTGATATAATAAATCAATACTATGTTTTTTCTTTGCTATAAATAACTCATAATTCATAGTAACTGACGAATAAATAAGTTTCTTTCGTAAAAAAATCTTTTTTTCACAGGATATATTTCATTTAACAATATAGCATTATATTAACTAGTTTTTATATTGATATATTTCTTATGTATAAATACCCAAAACAAACTATTGTTTACAAAATAGATGCATCAAAAATAAAGCTAAAGAACAAAATCGGGGCAATGTCAGAGTCATTGTATACATTTACCCCCAATATTACAAAATAAATATTGAAATAAAAGTTTTAAATGCAAGCATATATTTTATTGCAGCCTTTAATTTTTTTTAAAATTTAAAAAAGGCTGATACATCATGTAGAAAAAATTCTAAAATATAATCTTAATATATTCTAAAATAATATTTTGTGCAAAGGCTAATGAACTTCTGGTTCATGATATTTTATCATCAAAAGAAATTAATAGTATAATAATAATATAATAATAATATAATAATATATTAATAATAATATAATAATAATAATAATAATATAATAACAATAAT